GGAGGAGAATTTTGCAGATACCCTGACTTGCCAAAAAAGACAAACAAGTGGGTCCAAGATTAAAATGTCAGAACTTTTCCTGGAAGCAAACATCACAAAACTTGAGGCTGTTGTACTTGAGGCACATCATGAGAAAGCAAGATTCACTGGAAAAGACAATAATACTAGGAAAAGTTGAAGATAGCACGGAAAGAGGAAGGCCAAATATGAGATGGATCGATGACATAAAGGAAACCACAGTCTTTAGTTTACAAGAGCTGTTAAGAAGAGGACAATTTTGGAGGTCATTCATTCATTAGAAAATCATGTGTCAGAGGTGACTAAAACAGCCACCTCAGACAAGGAATTAACTCTAATGAAAAAGATTGTAGGACATTAATATGCATGTGAAAATAAATCAATTCATTTTAAAGGTAGTTCAAGACTCATTCTCTCTCTCATTATACTCATGTTAATTTGGTGGAGACAGACACTTACGTAGAGACTAAACCTGAGCACTTGGATCTATATCTAGTTAGAACAGAACTACTGAAATTACTAGAACATGAATAATGACTAACCAAAGCTCTATACATGGATTATCTTACCCAGCATCAGCAACACTGACAGGGTTCTTGCTTACGTGTAAAACTGACATGCTCAAAAAAACCTCTCCTCTTCAGACTCATCCCTGTTCATGTAGAGAAAGCAATGGTGTGTGTGTGGAGGGAGGTAGCCAATCCCCTTCCTCATTTGTGCTGATGGTTGCATATAAGGTACTGACTGAATGGGGCTTTAAATCCTATTGATTTAATACTCTAAATATGACTTAGTCTGAATCTGTAATACACATAATTGTGTCCTCTTCCTTCAGCTGTCATCTGACATATTCCTCTTTGGAATTTCACTGTGCTCCAACAACTGAAGAGATGCTATCATTACAATAATTGTATTTTTTTTTTCTTAGTGGTTTCTTTGCTTTGTTTAAATCTATGAACCAAACCTGACACATAATAATATCCTTAATTTCGGGGTGGGGTGGGGGGAATTGATGGTTGAGTGGAAATCTGGCAAAGTTTACAAAAGCAACACTGTCCTTCTTCCAGTCACGGAATTCCCCTCCCCCCAACACACACATTAACAACTGCCAACGGTTACACCTGCCTATGCCAGAGACTACCTAGGTTGGGCTTAATTTGGTTCATTTGGAGGGTTATGCTGAGTTAGAGCTAAAGACAGTGACCTAGACAAGGAAAATATTAAGAATCTAAAACAGGACCAGCACCTGAAAAGATGAGGTAATTTTGTTTTTGTATTCGCGAAGGCTTTCGCAGCCAGGATCTAATGGTTGTTGTGGGTTTTTCGGGCTCTTTGGCCGTGTTCTGAAGGTTGTTCTTCCTAACGTTTCACCAGTCTCTGTGGCCGGCATCTTCAGAGGACAGCACTCTCTGCTCTGGTGTAGTTGGCTTGTTTTTGTTTTTGTTTAAAGAAAAGGCAGAAGGGAACAGAAATGTATCAAGAGGGCAGGACTGAGGCGAGGAGAGATCATTTATTTTCCATTATTGTGGATAGGGAAGAGGGATGCTGATTTATGTAGAAGATTGGTCAATTTATTTTAAAGCGGAATGTAAAGCAGGAAGTGAGGGAAGGCTAACTCTATATAAGGCAAAGCGAGGCAGTTGCCTCAGATAGCAGATTTGGGGTGTCATGAAATACATGGCTTGATATTTGTTATGACCGTATTTTACTTTCAGTTAGTGGGAAAGGTCCTTGTAGGATTCTCTGCTCCACCTGTCAGAACCACCATTGGTATCTCGATTTCGGCATGGTGGGCATATGCTTTTATGTAGCAAAATGTCTTGAGCCATCCCTGGGGGGGAGTATAGAAAGATACTTCCACATATAAAACCAAAGATAAAAGAATATAAATATTACCTCACCCACATTTCGATTCATGTTGCATCCAGATTATGGATACTGGATTATTTAAATGCCTACATGTATAAATAGGATGCTTGGAAAAGCATTTAGGCTTGCTTGGCGTATCTTTTGTAATGTCTTTCAGTTTAAGACATGAGATTTAAAAGGAACTAGGAGGGAAAGAAGAAAATGTTCTCACTTGTTTTATCTTTCCCTTACTCCCTGCTGCAAGATTTTGCTTGCTCCTTTTCAGCTATATACAAGTGTGTGCATATGTGCAAATGTGAGCATAAACATGCACAGACATTTGCAATCATCTGATCCAAAAACGTTTTAAAAACAAGAAAAACGTACTTATGAACTAGAAAACATTTAACTTTGAATGACCAAACAAGTATTTAGGCATCATTTCATTTAAGGAACATCATAACATTTCAGGAACATTAGGTTAGGTTAGAGGTTAAGATCCCTGGGGAAAGATGAGAAAATTTTAAAGAATTTTGTAAAGGCAATAGAGGTTTTCTTTAGAAGAAAAGAAAAAGTAAAGGCACAAGAATCCATGTCTTTCAAAAGCTGCTATGGAGACATTTCTCACCTTACTGCAGGCAAAGCACAAAGAAATTGACTTAAGTGGATGGCTGGTATTTTTATTACAAGAGGAAAGGTTTGGGTTGACACGTACAGCAATGAGAACAGTAAAGATGATGTTATCCTCTTCTACTACTGTATGGATTTGAGCCAGACGATGTCACCGGCAGTTGATTCCAAATGAAGTTAATAGGAATTACATAAAGCTATGACTTGCATATAACATGCCTACATGTAGTGTATTATTTTAAAAATTAAACATATTTTAAGGTAAATATCTTTAGCCATAAAGTTTAGAAATTAGATTAAAAATTTGTAGAGTTGGAATATACCTCGAAGATCATCTAGGGAGCAAATCTCTGTGAATCCAAGAAATCCACAGCTGGATGGAACACACCAGGAAATTTTACTTTTCTAAACAGTTTTATTAGTTTCAGTTTAATTAAAATAAAGATAATATAGCAAGGCCTCAAAAGAATAATAAAAATTAAATAGGTTACATGTGCTTTAAAATAACTAAGTAGACTTCTTTCCTCTGTGAATCTCACCCCTGCAAATCTCTAGGGTCATTTAGAGGTCTTAGTAATGGGCACCCTTGGAGAACAGGTGGTAGAGACTACAGAAGGCTGAACCTAGATGATCCTTCAGATGTGTTGAACTACAACTAATTCCTCCCTCCTAAGCTGTACTGTATAGGGGTGATACTTCTGAAGGGGATTAGGTTGGGAAAGACTGACTTACACATCACTAAAACTGTGGTGCATAGAAGGAAACAGGACAACAGGGCTTCTAGATAATGTGCAAGTCCATAGTAGAGACACATTGATCAATGTCTTCTTGCATCCTCTACAAATCTTCCTGTGAGCATACAGAAATGATGAACTACAGTACTGAAAAGTACTGTGCTACTCTGTTCAGAACAATGACAAAGCTCTGGGTCATGTTGAAAGCTAATTTATCATGCATAAGCTTTCACAGGCCACACAACCCATGCTTCATGAGAATGCAGAATTGCAACTCTTTATGATGCCAAAGGACTCTGGTTCCTAGTAAGTTACAAGCCATCAAGTAGAAACATACTTACAGAGACCCTGAATAGGGCACCCAAGGTAAGTGAGTTATTTAAGGAGTGGCTATATCTGTTCCACTACCCCAGTGAGTTTCCGTGGTCAAGCGTAGACTTGAACCTTGGTCTCAGTGGTTCTTAACCTTTGTTACTCAGGTGTTTTTGAACTGCAACTCCCAGAAACCTCAGCCAGCAGAGCTGATGGTGAAGGTTTCTGGGAGTTGCAGTCCAAATCTGAGTAACAAAGGTTAAGAACCACTCCATCTGCCACACCGCATATTTCAGTAGAAATGCAAGGAGGCCACACAAGTCATTTTTCAGCTGGAAAACACACAGCTCAAGTTTTATGGGTCTGATCAGGGCCAAACTAAGACCAAAGTGGAATTTCTTTCTTCTTCCACAGAGGGAAACAGACAGTTGAATCCTACTGACAGTAGACTAGTTGTCCACTGGCTATGAGGCCAGCAATCTAGTTTAAAGGGCCAATCAATGGCATTATGCATGGCACACAGCTCTGTCCTCCAAGAGAGGAGGATGGATAGAGAACTCGGAAGGAATTATTTAATAGACAGCCACTACTGTTTGCCACCATGTGCTGCTGGAGGCACATGCTTCACTCTGCCTAAGTGGGTAATTGATGCCTGTCCAGAACTCCACACATAGCACCATGTGAAGGTGAGGGTCCTGAGCTGATAAAAAGGGGAGTGTCACGTATGGGGGGGGTGAATTCCACCTTCAATACACACACTTCTTCTTGCAAGTAGCAAACTATCAGAAGAGAGACATTTTAGACCAGCTCCCCTCCGCTCTACCAGTTCACTACTTTCAGGTGTGTGTCTACTTTTCTAAAGCAGCAATGATGCGCCCACCTGAAGTGCGATAGTCACGCCTTGCTACGCCCGGCCCGGGAAGCCTAGATCCCAACCATACTGTTTGGCGTTTAATCTTTAACCGCCCGGCTTCGTGCTTCGCTTCTCGCCGCCACACCCATCCGCTCGGCGTCTCCCAAGTGAGTAAGCCGAGGCCTAAAGTTTCCGCAATGTGAGCACTGCAGGGAAGGTGGCGATTTGGCTTTCTTGGACTGCAAGTCCCAGAGTGGCCCCGTCAGCACTGTCCAGTGACCTACTGCCAGAGAGATCCTGGGAGTTGTAGTCCCAAATCTGCACCTTTTCTAAGCTTTGACAGCACAGGGCCGCCTTCTTTAATCTTGCTGTCAAGAGCGGCTCTCCGCCCCCTCTCAAGAGGCGGGGGGGGGGGGGGAAGAAGGGGGCATAGAAAACAGCGCGTCCCGTAGATGCTTCTCCCTGGAAGAAGGCCTTGCGTAAAGCGGCCAGCATCCTTTTGCTCAAGTTTCCAAGCATGCCATTACTGCGGACTTTGCAAAATGCAGGGCGGAAGGCACTCGGCCTGGCGCACGTGGCGGGACTGTGCGCAGCCCGCTGGGGGGAGGGAGGCGCGCCGGCCGTGGGGCTGGGGAAGCAAGCCTCGGCCTCCTGGGAAGCGTTGCCTTCAGTGGGGCTTACTCCCCGGCAAGCAGGGACAGGACTGCCGCCTGAAAGCAGGTCAAAGGTACGCTGAGGCCGACGACGACGACGACGCCTTTGCGGGAATGATCCGTCGGGGTTCTCCGGCGCGCTCCTTGCACCGGGTTCCGCTTGGCAGCAGCCGAGCCTCCACGTGGAGCGCGCGGCTTTTGCGCTTGGCAAAGGGCAGGCAGGGAGGGAGGGACTGGCCAGCCCGCCCGCCCGCCCGCCGCCTCTCCCGTTCCGGGGCCCGGGTGGATCCCAGGGGGTCCCAGGCCCTCCCAAGGTGGGCTCTGGGAAGCAGCTGGGACCCCTCCCCTCGCTGACCCTAGAGACGGCGGCGGCGCGGGCGAAAGACTCGCACCTGCTTCCCGGGAGCTGCGCCCTCTCCAGCGCCGGCTTTTACTGAGCCGAGCGCCTTCGCCAGCGCCGGCTTTTTAACGCGCCGAGGAAAAGAGGGAGGAGAAAGGAAAGTTTCATCATCGCTCCGAAGAGCGGAGCGGACTTATAAAAACGGCGCGGCTCTCGCTTTTTCCAGACCGGCGGATGGGAAGGTGGCGGAGAAGGCCGGCCCTCGCACCTGGTGGCGCGGCTCTCCCCGGGGCGCAGAGGCGAGCGGGAGCGCAAGCCCGGTGGATCCCGAGGCGGTGCCCGTGAGCGTGAAGGAGACGATGGGGATCCAGCCCGACAGCAACCAAGGGCCGAGAATCGGCACCTGCTCCGGGAGCATCTTCTGTAACATTAAGGTGTGGGGTTTTCCCAGTATAGCTCTGCAGCTTGAACAAACGTGAGAGAATGAAAAGCTTGTACTGTATTGCTAAGGGATTATTTCTAGTAGAAATATTTACACGAGGTTGGTGAATTCGGTACCCAGCTTTCTCGGGGGTCAGTGTGTAGTCTGCATAAGTAAATTGTAAATCACCCAGAGAGTGCCTTATATTTTATGGGGGCGGCATATAAACAGTACAGTTTACTTTTGTTGGAAACGTTTTGGAATGTTTTTCCTGGTGGCAGAGTATTGAGGCCCATTGTTAATTCTGCACTTCACAAATTTTATGTCACTCATGCTCCTGTTTGCTTAATTTTTTATATAAGCGATCTTCCAAACCAGTTAAGTGGGTTGATAGATGTTAAACTACTTTCATCTTCTGAAATTCCAGTGAAACCAACTTTGCTTGGATTCTAGGAAAATCTCTAGGTTTCAGATGTTTCTGTTTTGAAGTGTGTGGGTAGCTGTGTTCGGGTCTCTCAGCTGGGTGTTTAAAGGCTGCAATCTGATATGTAAAAGTAAAGCATGCATATGACTGGGGTCAAAGGCTCTAGTCCTCTGCATACTTAATTGGATAAATCTTGAATCACATCAGTAGCTCCCGTTTATAGTGCCAGGTGTTCTCCTGCTCGATAACCCACGGCGTTATTTACTTACACCTGAGTGCTTTCACCCTGATTTAGTTTGCTTAAGCTGAAATGCCTAAATATAAATACGTGGGAATAGGTGCAAGTTCAGGGATCCTGCCTTAATTGGATGGTGATATATCTGTTAGTGAGCCAGCTATTGTGCTGGCATAAATGACTTTGTGCTTTGAAGTTGAAACCATCCGGACATTTGTCATCTCTTAGTGTTGCTGTTGATCTTGGGAGAACTTCTGAGTCTCTCGCCCATGTGTGATGATGATTCTCTGTAAAGGTTGCAATTTCCAGGAGGCTTTTGGGGAATCAGCTTTGATGCTTAAACGTGTGTGTACTTTCTGCCTTTTGTGTGCAAACAACAATAGCAATGGTGCTTTTCAAAAGTAGCCGTTTGTGGTGCTTTTGTTAACAGAAGAATGCCAGAAAGATGCCCTCTTGGCAGAACAGTTGCCTAGCTGTGTGAGGGATTTCTTTCGTCAGGACAGCAGCTGCTAAGCAGCTGGGAAGAGCGGCACAGAGTGTGTGCCTCTCACTTAGGAATGAATTACCACCAAGGAAGTTCAGAAAAAAATGAGGGGGGAGTAAAAGGTGGGGAGGAACCCATTGCCCTTCTTTGCCTGGAAGATCTCTGGTGAAGCACTTATATTAAAGGAATGGGTAGCCTCCCCTCATATGTGTGTGTGTGTTCTTTAAAGCAAATGCTCCCTTTCTTGTATTCCTCTACATCAAAAGCAAACATCACTCCCCTCTTGCATACACTCCCTGGGCTTTCTCAGTATTGGGGTTAAGCATACCTATAGAGCTGCCACAGCTCTTTCAAGGGGAAGCACTAATGAACAGAGGTGATCTGGAAAGCCATTTTTGACAGAACACTAAGAGCTGGTCACTTTGTTACATTAATGAAATGAGTTTGTTTTGCGCCAGTGTGTCAGGTGCAAGAGGGGTGCAGTGTTCTACATGAGATCACTTCCACTAGTAATGTCTGCTATCATGAATGTCTGTTATGGTCTTTATGAAATGTCACTGAACCCAAGCAAAGCCTGTTGCACCAACCTGGAATTAAACCCAAACAAGATTACTCATTATGAGCCTCCTCGTCACTCCTCTGCCTGCTGATTCACCGTATCTTCTGCTACAAGTTTATCTCCTGCCTTGACATTTATTATTGCATGTTTTGTCCTGCCCTTCCTCCAAGCAACTTAAGTTGATGCACCTAGTTCTGTGGTCCTTAACAGATTTGACCTCACAACAACTGCAGGGTAGATTGTCTTGAAACAAAAGGTTGTGTTTTGAGGCTGAAGGGGGATTCAAACCCAGATCTTCCTGGTGGTAGTCCAACACTCTGAGAATGGTGTGATGCCATCCCTTTTGTCTATACCATGGTGAGGAACCTGTGACCCTCCTCTACACATTGGGGGACTCCAGTTCTTATTAACCCCTGCCAGCTTGACCATAGATGTGGGAGTAGTACTTCCTTGGCATCTGAGTACACCAGGTACTTTCACCTCTTGTATACCTTCTAGACTGGTGCAGGATTAACATGGCAGTTCCTGCATAGGTTTATCATTATTCTTCAAGCAATGTGCCATATCATAGCAGCTGGGGCTCTCTTTTTTGCCACGATGCTTTTTACAGTGGGGTCTTGACTTGAGAACTTAATCCGTATTGGAAGGCGGTTCTCAAGTCAAAAAGTCTGTAAGTCAAGTCTCCATTGACCTACAGTGCATTGAAAACCGATTAATCCCATAACAAGCCGTTTTTGTTCCATTTTGGTTTTTTTCTGGTCTGTAAGTCAAATCTCAGTCTGCAAGTCAAACCTAAATTTTGCGGCCAGAGATGTCTGTAACTCAAAAAGGCTGTAAGTCAAGCCGTCTGTAAGTCAAGGGTCCACTGTATAGTAAGGGAGCAGCAGTACCATGAGGACAAACATAGGAATACATTAATGTATGTCAGCATGCACATTTCTATATCTGAAGCTGTTTATGATGTTCTATCTTAAAGACCAACTCTGTAGATGGCAAATTGATTCTTCTCCTGCTTCTCTTAGTTATCCTCGGTTAGAATAGTGTGTTTGCTTACTGCTGGATTAACTCTGATGCTTTTCTATCCATGTATCCAGCTCATCTCATCTGCAACCTCTTGATTGCAATACAAAGGAAATGCCTGCAGGAATCAACTCTTTCTCTCCTTTATGAGATGAGTGAGCCATGTTCCCTATGGCATGGTGTCTGGAAATAAGGTTCCACAAGTGTTGCTTTGTATATGTGTGTTCAGCTCACTTTTGCTGTCTCCATGCAAGAGATGGAGCCATGCCAAGACCGAGACACTACCTGTGAAAACAATGTGTTGGTGGTGTCTAAACAAACCACACTGTTCTCCTAAGCCCTACTGGAGCTGCTAAACATTGCTTTAGTTCCAGTACAGGGCATTCCTCCATGGAATGAACCCCCAAGCTGTGGTCTACTGGGTGAAGATAATGGAGCTTCTGTTTGTTTTATATGGCTCAGTGTTGATAGAATGCCTTTTTCAAAAGTTACGCAGAAATAGCAAACATTGTCTGTTCGCATACTGTGCCCTGTATTAAGGATTTGTCCTCTCCCTTGCCACTTCTTGTTTGTCTGTTGTAGGCAGTGTGGATTTCATTTAAATCATAATATAAACCCCTGGTTGTGGAGCAGTGAAGCAAGTGGTTGAATCTGGGTCAGCTCTGTCGGGATGCTAGCTTGAAGGTGGAGGAAGCTATTCCCTGTCCTCATTCTGCATAGAAACAGGCAACCTGAAGTTTAAAAAGATGGCATGATGGAGGATGAGACAGCAGATGCTAGAGTATTGTGAGAGAAAATGTGAATGTAATATTCCAAGTCAAGCCGCCAGATCTAATGAGGAAGATCTAATGAGGAAGAGCCGGTTGTCTTACCAGTAAGGAAGAAAAGAAAGACAGGCTAAAACAAATGCATTGCAGTGGCACAGGAAAAAATGATCGGATGGGAACTTTTTAAATCATTACTATGAGATTTAAATTTAAATTATTACTATGTGACTCTTCCCACCCTGCTTATAACTTTTTTGAACTGTTGCCGTCTGGCAGAAGATATAGAACAATTAAGACTCGGACCACACGTTTTCTGAATAGTTGTTATCCCAGAGCTATAATTGCACTTAATAATGAGCTTAAAGACCACCAGTAGTGAATAGTTAGTTGGACTGTGTTACCTGGCCTGCAGTGTAGATGTTTGTATTTTTAGTGGGGATTTTTTAGTGGGTGCGGAGTGTTTGGGGATTTTTTAGTGGGTGGGGAGTGTTTGGGGAATTTTATGTGTGTGCATGTGTCTGGTCTCTGGGTGTCTGTGAATTTCATTGTATGGGTATACTGTGTATATACTTACAATGACAATAAAATAAATAAATAAATAAAATAAAAATAAAAAAATCTCATCCACTTTTTAAACAAAACACTTACAATGACAATAAAATAAATAAATAATAAAAATAAAAAAAATAAATCTCATCCACTTTTTAAACAAAAGCTGATTTGCTCTTTCTGTACATAAATAGGAACACAGTTGTTGTTTTTTTCTCTCTCTCTGCATGCAAATGCCTATATGGCATATATGCTCTTTTAAACCTTGAAGACTACTAAGGAAATTTGATGGAATTAAGTTTAGACTGAATGTATTCAGAACTGGCACAGGCTAGCATCGGACTGATTCATCCATCTCTACATGTTAATCTATTACAGCAAAACTACTGGGTCTTGTAGCACCGTAAAAGGTTAACAGATATATTATGGGATAAGCTTTCATGGACTACAACAGTTTTACCAATCCTGGTGTCCTCCAGATGTGTAACACTCATAATCTCAGAGAGAATGATCAGTTATACTGCAACCCATCTGGCTGGAGTGAGTGATATTCTTACATGGCAAATTATGTACATATGTTTTTAGAGAGAAATTGTAACAGAATGCATAAGTTACCGCTCTGACTGTTCAATTAGGTGGACACTGCCGGCAGTAGTCAAAGGTAAAAACATTGCCTTTGCCTTGTGAATCTAGTTCATTATGAATCAACAGAACAAAAGGACCAGGGCTTTCTACAGAATACTGTACCAGCATTTTTTGTCAAGGAAAAAGGGTGACTGATATAAATTGTCATGTATGTTGGATAAATATATTTATGTTCTGCAGAGGTTGGGGAATGTCACACACATGTGAAGGTCATTGGCTTTCAAAAATGGGAAGAAAAGTGGCCTGGCAACAAATAATAGCTTGGTCTTCTGCACATGGATCTTCAATAGAGGGAAATAGTATAAGGTGTAATGCTTTTTAAAATCCCTC